TAGAAATTTACTGAGTGGTTAACTTTAACCGTGAATAACTTTTGAAGGAGTAGGTTTATCGAAAAAGTGTAATAGACCTTTTTTGTACAGCGTTCAATTCTGTACAAGATAGCTAAAAATTATTTGAAAAAAGTGGCAAATTTCCATGTAATTTAAATGGGAAATAAATCATCTTTGGGGCAAGATTTATTGTGAATATTAATGCTTTACAATGGTCTGTTATTTTTTTAGACAATAAACTAAAAATTTAGAGGGCGGCGTGAGAGAAATGATCAACTTTGTAGATAACGGACACCCTAATGATTATATACAGAAATTTATGATGTATTTCATGCCTACGAAAAAAAAAATGAAATCGAATTGTCAATTGCTTTGAAAGCTGCCAGTCCCGTACAAGAATTAATCAGTATCTTATCTACCTTCGTCCATAAAGGTACCTACGTTTTGATTGCGTAACAAGTATTGGGAGGAGGTCAGAAAAGTCGTTTAGATAAATATATGTCAGTTTCGTTTGCATCCTGTATGTCTATTAATATTCCTTATTTGATTCTCGAAAAGCACCTCTTCCATTTTTATTATACCTTCGGACTTCTTCATTTCGGATTTAATTATTAGATAAAGCCACGATAATTACTACTTACAGTGGCTTCCACGAAATTATTTAAATAAATTAGGCCCGCTATAGTTTGCAGAGATATATAATGTCTTACTGCCTCGCCAATTTTACATTTCCAATGATAAACCTTTATATATTTTTTTTTATAAAATAATAAAAATTTCCAATTGGCAAACATGCATTTGAATATTTATTATTTATATCGGTAGATTGAAAAAGAAATAATAACAAAGAAAAATATTTAAGGATATGTCCCAAGAATATAAATGATTCTAATTTTGTCTGTGCATAAGTGATTTAATGATGATTCCAAAAAAAATTGTTGTGGTTTTATGCTAAAAAGTATCAAGAAAATAACAAAATTTTAAATATTACATGCATTGAATGGGTAAAGAGTGTTGTCGATTAAACATATTATATATTTTTTGGGTGGAGTAAATGAGCTGTTATTTTTGAAAGTGGTTTAAGTCCAATTTTTAAAAAAATAAGTTAATTGTATAAATTTCAGTAAGATATAGACACATTCTTTCCATATTTATAATCATTCATTCAATGGAGTACACGATTTTTTTATAAAAATTATAAAATGTTACCACAATTTTTTTTTTTTTGAAAGTGGAATAAGTTCATTCCTAATAATTATAATTAAAATAATTTTCTTGTTGCCATTATTATTCTCAAGACTATTATAATGCAATAAAGGCTTGCCGAAAAAAATAGCTTCATTTTGTGTGAAATGAAAAGAGGAGACTTTGATGAAACTCATTTTTTTATAAAATTAGTATGGAAGAAAATTCTCCATTTAATACAATTTTTTTATTTGGTTTTGAACCAAAAAATCTCAGCAAAATTAATGAGTAATAATAAATATGACCATTATGTAATCACGATTCTGCTTAAACTGCTTGACGTTTAAAGCTGATTTTTGGCAAATGGATTGACTGTGGGGGGAGGTTGTAGAATTCCAAGAGGGTGAAAACGCCCCTCAAATATTACAATATTTGTTATTTAAAAAACGGTTAGTCTTTCGGGAAAACGTTTGGACACGCATAATTTATTTTGTTTTTTTACATATTTTGAAATTTTTAAAAAAGTCGTACAGGGTGTTCCAAAAAGTTGGGTAATTCTGTTTAAACTGCTTGACGTAAAAAGCTTATTTTTGGCAAACGGATTTTTCGAAAGTCAAATTCCAACGAGATGAAACTAGCTCTCAAATATTACCAAGTTATATAATAATATCGCCATATTGTTTTTTCTCATGCTGACATAAATGTGAGAAAATGTTATCCAGTTTGTATGTTAATGGAAATTCTTGCTTTGCTTTATCATCACCATTACAAATGATTAATTCGACGCGAACGAAGTCGCGGAACACGTTAGTATATTTTTGAAAGTGGTTTAAATCCGTCTAGATTTAAAAAAATCGTTTATTTTTTGTAACAATTGTAACATCACTCAAATATATTAAGGCTTACGAATATTTTTAAATCAATTCAAATGCAAAACATTAAATATCTCGATCCGTGGAAAAATGGACTTATAACATTTTCAAAAATAACAGCTCAAATGTTAATTGGTAAATCACTAGGTACTCGCCACCGTGCACAAATGATCAATTGGAGGTCCCAGATAACATATCCATCCAACCGATTCATTCATAACGAATAAGCCTGTTTCTCAAGTAATAACTCATAATTCATCGTTAGAAAGATAACTGCATCGTCGTCATTTCTTAAATGATTTATTTTTATTGTACTATGTAGATTAGGATTTAATTAATTTAATGCACTGACCAAAAGTGACACGCATATTTCTATTCAAATATATTTGGAGCGGAAATATAATGGTCGCGGCTAGAAAATAATAAATTAAAAAGTCACAAGTCAATTTAGGAACGGTAATGACCAGTCTCGTCTATGTTAATTGTGCTCGAGTTTTTAGCGTTAATATGTTTATTAAAACTAAAAGAGCTACATATTATATAAATAGCTTTTGTTTAAAATAGGTGACTAACCATCAAATATCTGTATCGCCAGAGCTGCAGGCTCACAGAAAACTCAAGTCTTTTTTTGATTTAAATCATTTTAATGACTTTAGTCATTTTTCGAAAGCTGACTTAAGACTTAAAATTTAAGTCTTTTTATAAAAGACTTAAGTTGTTAAAATGATTTAAGTCTTTCTATAAAAGGCTTAAGTCAGATTTTTTTATATTTTTATGATACATTTTTAACAGCAGCATTCCTTTTTAAGGCGGTAGCAAAGCAGCAGATTAAAAAAACAATGCTCAATACCACTAGTAAATAAAATGTTAGTTTTTCCGAACTGGTTTTGATTATTTGTCGTGTTACGCGTGCGTAGTGACTCGAGAGTTGTCTTTATTTTTTGAAGAGTACCTTAAAATCCCATGCCACCTTATGCCATCTAATATTTTATGTATATTATGCTATCGATATATTACATAGTGATCAAAACACATCACCACCAAATGGATACAAATAAAGTAGTACCACAGATTATACAGATTATAAACTTATCGTCAAAAGCATTGTTTTTCGTGGTTCCAACTTTCGGAGTTGCCCACTAGTTAGGTTACTAGTTTGCGCACAAGCACGCCCACTAATGGCCTCTAAAATTGTACACAGCGCCTGACCGGCTCAGTTATTCGCTGTTCAAACGGGAGTTTATTTCTGCGCACAAGAAAATTTACTCGTTTGCTCATCGTCATAAAAAACAATTTTCGTACCACGAATTAGGGACAAGATTTTTATCTGTATACTTATAGGATACCTAATCTGTGGTAGTACTTTAAAAGTACTACAAAACTGGTTAAATTTTAGAAAAAAACATATTTTTGTGTTTGTAGTTGTTCTGAAAATTAACCGTTTTATTTTATGTGGTTTTAGTATCATCTGTATCTGCTATGGTTAATCTATACTAATATACAAAATCCTTAAGTGACTGACATACTGATTAATCACGATCCTGCTCAAACCACTCAACGTAAGAAGCTCAATTTTGGCATACAGGTTGATTCTAGGGTGTAGAGGTTCGATAAGAAGGGATTTTTCGAAATTCCGGTTCTAAGAGGGTGAAACCACCCCTCAAAGATTACAATATTTTTTATTTAAAAAACGGTCAAGTCTCCGAAAAAACGCTTAAACACGTATATTTAATTTTATTTTTTTACATATTTTAAGATTTTTTAAAAATGTATACAGGGTGTTTCGAAAAATCTGGTCATTGATTAATCACGATCCTGCTTAAAGCGCTTGACGTAAAAAGCTGATTTTTGGAAAACAGATTGACTTTAGGGTATAGAGGTTCGATAAAAAAGGATTTTTCGAAACTCGAATTCTAAGGGGGTAAAACTGTCCCTCAAATATTTAAAAAAAAATATTTAAAAACCGGTGAGTTTTTCGGAAAAACTCTTAAACACGTATATTTTATTTTGTTGTTTTACATATTTTAAGATTTTTTATAAATTTATACAGGTTGTTTCATAAAATATGACCATTGAGTAATCACGATTCTGCTTAGACTGCTTGACGTTTAAAGCTGATTTTTGGCAAACGGATTGACTGTGGGGTGTAGAGGTTCGATAAGGAGGGGTTTCTCGAATCTCAAATTCCAAGAGGGTGAAAACGCCCCTCAAATATTAAAATATTTGTTATTTAAAAAACGGTTAGTCTTTCGGGAAAACGCTTGGACAAGCATGATTATTTTGTAATTTTTTAAAAAATCATACAGGGTGTTCCAAAAGTTGGGTAATTTCTTAACCACGATTCTGCTTAAAAAAAAAATATTGTTTTTTCTCATGCTGACATAAATGTGAGAAAATTTTATCCAGTTTGTATGTTAATGGAAATTCTTGCTTTCCTTTATCATCACCATTACAAATGATTAATTCGACGCGAACGAAGTCGCTGGTATACGCTAGTTAATAATATGATACTTAGTAAGAAAATCTCTAATTGATAATACAAGAAAATTAATATTAACATTTAAAAAAGGTGCTTAAATTGAATTCTGGTTGTCTTGGCTGGAGAGTAATTATATTGATTCAAGTCATTTTACTGACCTAACTTGCAGAACATCACGATTTAAGTCAAAAATATAGACTTAAGTCATAAAAACGACTTAAATAATGTTATATTGATTTAAGTCTTTACAAAAATGACTTGACTTGAAATAAAATGACTTAAGTCAAAAACTTAAGACTTAAATCGTTTGAACTTTATGTTGAATTTGACTGAAGACTTAAATCATTTTGATTTCAAGACTAAAGTCTTTTTAAAACTGATTTGTTGCATCTCTGTGTATCGCTAGAATAAAAACAGCTCCATTATTATTGTCTGGCTCAAATCCTCTTTCTTTTTGTTTGTAGAACTTATTGCCAAACGAATTGAATTGGAGATGGATTCTTACGAAAATTACAGGGTAGGTACTGTAAGATGTTTAGGTTTAGACGCGGTCAGTAGGTTTGATTCTGCGGTCTTTTTTTAAAAATAAATCGATCAGTTACAGAAAGAACTAACAAAAAATCTTCCGCTTATGATTAATATATCGAAAACGTTCAAATTAAAGCTAATGGAAAATATTAGAGGTCCATTGTAAAAAGTAATTAGCATATTTTAAGACACACTAATTGCCGCATTTTTATTACATTTCTATTACTACTTAGCGTTTACGGCTTTGACGTACAAACATCTATAAAAAAATGAACAATGCAGCGTCAGATTAAATCAAGAAAAAATGAAATAAAACAATCGAAAGATCAATAAAAATAAATCTATATCAAATTCTTTCTCACTATATGTCCTAGGCCGTATTGTCTCGTTCCACCTATGTGGTCCCGTAAAACGACAAGTCATAAAATAATGTTTTGTTATTATCTTCAGTTATGCTCTGTGGGGCCAACAAGCGATTATGCGGCATTTACATGGCTAGAAGTAATCATTTGACTTTTGATTTTCCTTGGCACGTACACCGACCGATCATATGATTATCCAATTAAGGCTGATTCCAATTAAAAAATTTTAAATTTAATTCTCCTCTACCTTGTCGGTGGCTTCACTCCGAGAAACGTTATTACAGCATATCCGAATTATTATTATCGCTTATCTTTATCTAAACGTCTGCGAAAGCTTGTTAATACAATAATTATTTTTTTATCTCCTCTGATAGGCCCAGTGTTCTAATTTCTTCACGATACACTTTAATGGCTCATTCTGTTACTTTTTCATCAGTTTTTTTAATGTATTTCAACAGCCAAAAACACGGAGTATTTACTGTGAAAATATGGTTTACGGTGATGAAAAAAAAAATTCTGGTAAAATTTGATTCTTCGTGATTTTCTACTTCCCAATTAAATAACAAGGGGGATTTTTTTTGGGAATTTTATTGCGTGGTAACAAATCAGCGTATTGTAAAAATTAGTACATATTCTTGTAGGAAATTGAACGGTCTTCAAAAAAGGTCTGATATGATTTTTCATTTAATCGACTCGTTTGAAAGTTATTGAAGGTTAAATTTCAACTTCAAATCTATACTAAAATATATAAAATCCTTTAGTGACTGACATACTGATTAATCACGATCCTGCTCAAACCACTCAACGTAAGAAGCTCAATTTTGGCATATAGGTTGATTCTAGGGTGTAGAGGTTCGATAAGAAGGGATTTTTCGAAATTCCAGTTCCAAGAGGGTGAAACCTCCCCTCAAATATTACAATATTTTTTATTTAAAAAACCGGTGAGTTTTTCGGAAAAACTCTTAAACACGTATATTTTATTTTGTTGTTTTACATATTTTAAGATTTTTTATAAATTTATACAGGGTGTTTCATAAAATATGACCATTGAGTAATCACGATTCTGCTTAAACTGCTTGACGTTTAAAGCTGATTTTTGGCAAACGGATTGACTGGGGTGTAGAGGTTCGATAAGGAGGGGTTTCTCGAATCTCAAATTCCAAGAGGGTGAAAACGCCACTCAAATATTACTTGTGACCTCTTAATATTAATATTAAGAGCTCAAACTTTACCATAATTTTTTCTTTCATGATCGTGAACGATATTTTCACAGTAACTAAAAACAAAAAAAAAATATTTTTTTTTGTACACCCTAATATACAGTTAAATTATTTTTATCACCTATTAAGATAGATATATCTGAATTGTGTAACGCATAGTATTTTCCATTATACACATTGCAGAACTGATAAAAGGTATCTAAAAGCTTATACGATTTTGATTTTTAAACAATAGAATCATTGTTAAATTGGACATAAAAATGTTATAGGCAGATGTAAGAACTTCTAGTTTTGTAAACAGTTTGTTTTTTTAGTATCAGTTAAGAAATATACATTTATAATGTATTGTAAAAACAAAATTAATAAGAGATAAAGTAAAAAGTGTTAATTAAAAAGAATTTGGTCATTTGAGGACGATAATTCAAAAATAATTAAAGTAAAACACCAATCATTCTGTATTAAGCAACATCTAGTTGTCAAATTCCCAAAATTTTCCTCGATTTATTCCACTTTTTCGTTCCTTTGATTATTATATAAATAGCTGGTCTTTTGATAAACAAAAATTAGTACTATTTTAGAAATTATCTAGAAAAATATCACTGGAATAGATTTATTACACTCTTGGCACTTTGGACAGCTACGTTAACAGTTATATGAAGTGTTAAATATGTCGCAGACATCATTATATTAAATGGTGCTGCCGAGGAAAGTTTATAACTCTGAAAATTTTTATACCTTTGTTTTATTATGATAAATACATAGAAATATTCAAAAGAAGTTAAAAAATATGGGAGAAATTTACATGTCTCTGTTGATCTTGATATATATTTTTTTGGTTATGGGAGCATAGTGGTTCTTAAGGAAAGGTAAAAGTATGTTCGTCCGGTTTATGCTGCACTGCATGGTCATTGGAGAAATATAAAAGTTTTTGTTGATCGAAAATTAGCAACGATTCAAAGGTCCATTGCCCTCGATGTCAATTCGGAATTTATTCTTGATCTGAAATTGATTTGTATCAAGTTATATCAGCTTATTCCCTTTTTTATTTATTATATACAGGGTGTCCCAGGCTGGGCGAGCAAAGTTTCTAGAGATCTAGATCGGAGATTTTTTGCACATCATTATTTCGCAATAAGATCTATCAGTTAAAAATATTTTCAATATGGCGGTACTTCCGGAAATGCCATTTTAAATGCGTACCCCCATTTTTTATTATAAATTTAAATTCTCTATAAAATTTGGAAACCCACTTTTTTATTTCACCTGTGGAAAGGTTTTTTAATTTGACGTTTAGGCTATACAATTTCTTTTGACAGGCAGTTCTTTTCCTCCAAAAATTTTAAATATTTTTTTTCACAAAAACGGTTTTTACAGAAATTTTACAAAGAATTTAAGTATGTAATAAAAAATGGGGATCTCCATTTAAAATAAAAAAGTTGCTGTTCCGATATTTCCGGAAGTGCCGTCATATTGAAAATATTTTTAATTGATAGATCTCAATGATGTGCAAAAAATCTCCGATGTAGATCTCGTGGTTCTATAGAAACTTCTAATGCACGCTCAGCCTGGGATACCCTGTATATAAAAAATATATATCTTCTTATCTGATCCCCGACATGACAATGCAAGTATTTTTTTGTTTTATTTTTCCCTTTGTATATATTAACCTGTTAATTGATATCAGGTAAAGTTTTATCCGTGCAGAAGTTAATTTAAAGGAGCTCTTTCATATTCTTAAGCACATCAGTTCAAGACGGTTCACACCTCTGACAGCCGCGTTGTTTACTAATGTCGCTTCAGAGTTAAAGAACATATTTATTAAAGGAATAATATTAAAACAGTTTTTGTTTTTATTTTTGCCGACTAACAAAATACATATTAATGAGCCGCGACTGGAAAAATATATTTTTTAAGGTCATTTTTGGGTTAGGGTTTTTTTTAAATGTTTTTGGAGCCATTAAAGGAGTGACTTTGATGAATTCAAATGCTGACAAGCCACTAATGTTATACTCATTCAGAGCTACAATCAGTCAGTTTAAAAAAAACTTATATCTTAAGTCATTTCTAAAATAAAAATGATTAAAAGTCTATTACGCTGTACTTTCGGGTCGGGTAAAAGGGGTGATTCAGGGTCATGACTTAAATCATTAAGTCACATCATTTTAAATGATGTGACTTAAGTTTTCTGAGAGTTGCAGCTCTGTACTCATTTGACAAAAAAATGCCATTTCCTCTAAATTTTCTTAAGGTTGTATTTTGCTTGTTTCAGATATTCCTTCTTTGCCAATGGTAGAATTAATTCATCAAGGTAAGTTATTAACTACTTTTATTTACTGTTGCGATTTTTCTTCATAACATCTCCTTTAAAATAATAATGAAACGAAAGAGAAAAAGAAAGTAATCCACCAACCGCTTTGGGATCTTATTAAATTTCATATATCTCAGCTCCCTGATTTATTGGCGTAAGATATTTTACGTACCATTCGATTAAAGTCTCAAAGGAATATCAATTACAACGACTATCCATTTCACAGCAGGTTAGTCTTTAGCGCCCCTTATTCAACTAAATAAGATATAAGGTTTGATGGGACCACCCTAAATTTACCCCATCGTTAGGCCTTTGTTTAGAGCCTAGGCTGTTCCTTCGATATATCACTGAATATTTCCATGTCTGAGCGTCTCAAGTAAATTAAAGGCACCCGACGCGGGCCGGGCATGATGAGTACGGTACAATATTTCTCCATAATCGACATTAACAGAACCCCAAGTCAATTAATAATATATCTATGTGTTATTTGAATTTCTAAACAAACTTCAACGCAGCGTGAATCGAATATGCCTAGTTCAGGCTCTATAAATGGTTAAAATACAGCTGTATTTTTTTTCTGTTGATATGCTCTTATATACAGGGTGGTCCGAATTGTATTCTGGAAACTTCAGCAGCATATTCTGCAGATAAAAATAAGTAAAAAAGTTCGTATAAATAAATGTCCTAAAAGGCTTTGATTCGGAGATACAGGATGTAGAAGTTTCATTTTTATTCCGATTTTGTCCAAATAATTTCTGAAGTGACATCAATATTTGGATGAAAATTGGTATCTGGGTGTTTTTTGACATGAGAAATTTGATTTTGATGTCAATATGTCTCGTTGTAAAACAGTGATGTGCTAAAAATCTCTGATCTAGATATTGTGGTTCTCTAGAAACTTCTAATGCACGCTCAACCTGGGACACCCTGTATAATCTCTAGAAATTATTACCAATGTTTCTTTTAGTTAAGTACATTCAGAGCATTTCACACATTCAAGAATTTTCTGTCATTAAAGGGTCATTTTATTTTAATGAAAAACTAATTAATTTTGTAATTGTTTTATCTATATATTACAGAAAATAATTATAAGGCTAAT